GGAGTGAGTACCGGTACCAGGGGATGGCATTGAGATTCAAGTACACACGAATCAATTGATCATACAGCTTTGTGCAATATTACAGATATATGCACGATTAATTTTTTCTAAATACAGCACTATGTTTTGTCAGCGGTTACGCTTATGTAGTACTAGACAAACAAAATATCCATTAAGTGTTCCATGTGGCTAAAATTAGAAGAACATGCAATATTCACTTCTTACGTCGGCAATACACTCCATATCCACAGAATCGACTAACACTCGGACGGTAGAACGTAACTAGACACCTATGTACACCGAACAATATTAAATGTTTTAAACGACCCGAAATTAGTACTCAGGTAAATGAATAAGAAAGTCACTCGATTCAGCCACATCCATCCCTTTCTCATTTGGGAAGTCACTCACTCATTTCATTGCTCACTCTCTCGCTTACCCAATAACAGTGATAGAATGAAAATTTGTGTATCAATGATAAGCTGCCAAATAATTTCCGTTTAAAACTTAATTACCAAAATATTTTTAATCCCCCATACATTGGCTATCACCATTAATCATCACTTATCCTTATCACTGGTTAACAATGATGTATATTGTTTAGCATATAACCATACATACAATCCAAAGAAATATACATCCATCTTTGTTTAATGCTGGCAAAAAATTGAAAACCGAAGAAACATAAAGTTGCTTATTCGATGATAATGATGATGATGTTGTTGTTGTTGATGATGATGATGATGATGTTATTGTTGTTGATGATGATGATGATGATGTTGTTGTTGTTGTTGATGATGATGATGATGTTGTTGTTGTTGTTGATGATGATGATGATGATGATGATCATGATGATGATGTTGTTGTTGTTGATGATGATGATGATGATGATGATGTTGTTGTTGTTGTTGTTGTTGTTGATGATGATCATGATGATGATGATCATGATGATGTTGTTGACGATGATGATGATGATGATGTTGTTGTTGTTGTTGATGATGATGATGATGTTATTGTTGTTGTTGATGATGATGATGATGATGATGTTGTTGTTGTTGTTGTTGATGATGATCATGATGATGATGATCATGATGATGTTGTTGATGATGATGATGATGATGATGTTGTTGTTGTTGTTGATGATGATGATGATGATGATGTTGTTGTTGTTGATGATGATGATGATGTTGTTGTTGTTGATGATGATGATGATGATGATGATGTTGTTGTTGTTGTTGTTGTTGTTGATGATGATCATGATGATGATGATCATGATGATGTTGTTGACGATGATGATGATGATGATGTTGTTGTTGTTGTTGATGATGATGATGATGTTATTGTTGTTGTTGATGATGATGATGATGATGATGTTGTTGTTGTTGTTGATGATGATGATGATGATGATGATCATGATGATGATGTTGTTGTTGTTGTTGATGATGATGATGATGATGATGATGATGTTGTTGTTGTTGTTGTTGTTGATGATGATGATCATGATGATGATGATCATGATGATGTTGATGTTGATGATGATCATGATGATGTTGTTGTTGTTGATGTTGATGATGATGTTGTTGTTGTTGTTGTTGTTGTTGTTGATCATGATGATGATGATCATGATGATGATGTTGTTGACCAGTATTGTCAGCCTGGTAAGGATACCGTTATTGATGTAATCTAAACATCACAAACCCATTAAGGACCATTTTGTTATTGGATGATGATGACGATGATGTATGCTATATGTGTACCGTAATTCATGCAGTCAAACATTGTATTTTCGGTTCCGTTAATTGTATACTTTCTGAATTTTCAAATTTTGTTTAAAATGCTGTCGGTTGTCCGCTGACGTCATATGCATGTTTAGCGCACGTTGTACTCCTTATTGGATTCACGATTATCAGGTGAATGAGACGGATACCAGTCTACAGCAGTCTTCCTTTATTATTTAACAAGATGTAAATACTAATGAAAACAACCGTAAAACAAGAAATAAAAATATCATTATATAATATAATACGTTACGTTTCCTGCTGTCCAAATCGTACCAGCAGGTATAACACTGTGGCTGAATTGTACGCTTAATTGTCACATACACTCTTCAAAAAAAGAAACGCATATGCTAGTTTAGGAATACTGGACTCATATAGCTGCGTCAAAAGCAATACAAATGTACTATTTCTTTCCAAAATGTCATCATTATGTACAGGGCAATTTTAACTTTTCCCCTTGTTTTAGAAGCGTTTGAGGAATATTCGCCAAAACGTCACCAAGAAAACATACAAAGCAAATTGCACGTGCAAGAAAGCGGAAAAACATGCGGTATCGATCAGTATAAAAAGGGAAACGTTGTGTTGAAGTTTGTCATTCGTTTTTGCCTGGAAAAGCGGAAATCATCATGCCACGACTGAGTGCTGCCAATCGAACATCGCCATAGGCCACCTTGAAGCTGGGGAGTCGCAGTCTGCAGTTGCCCGACATTTCAACGTTCATCAGAGCACCATATCTCGGTTTTGGGACCGTTTCCTGCAAACCAATTCCGCCCCAGAAGCTTCCGTCCAAGAGTTACCACCCCAAGCCCAGTACCGCTACATCCGGGTTGCTCACTTGCGTCATCGTCTTGCAACAGCGGTGGAGACTGCACAACGCATATTTGGTTTGAGGAGAATTTCCGACGTGAAGTGGGGATTCGACCAAAAAGGCCAGTTGCCTTCCCTGTTTTGAGAGACTTCCATCGGCGCAATTGTGGAACTGGAACCTAAGAAACTGGAGTTTTGCACCGCCCCTAACTGCATTCGACATGTCGACATGTGGTAGAGAGAGTGCAATGGTATGGTGTGCCATGGTATCCATCACGCAAAGATCTGATGTACTGGGGATTCAGGGAAAGTTTACAGCAAATCGGTAGATCAACGAAGTCCTTGCACATCACATGCTTCCGATTATGGAGCGACAGAGGGAGTTGTTCCAGCATGACTACAGAAGAAAAAGAAGAATCTCTTTGTTTGCAGTCTCTTTTTCCAAACATACACTCCTAAAAAACAAAAAACAACAAAACAAACAAAACGCATAAGCCATGTTTAGAAGAATTTATTGCGTAGTTTAAGAGCAATTATTGCATGTAATGTCAAGGGTATAGAGGTGACAATTCACACGTCTATAGACAAAGAGTTCGCTAACACAACAACAGCCTTTATTGTTGTGTTTCTGTTTACTTGGCTCCACAAGATGGCCTCAAAGTCAGTACTTTGCATGGCCGCCATTGCTCGGCACCGTCTCAGCACAGACAGGATAAGTCATTCTTGCGGAATTCTCCCCAACTCTTCCTGCAATGCGATGGCCAGTTGTGGAAGTATCTGAGGCGTGTTTTGACGTTGACGTACACGTCCATTGAGTTCATCCCATAGGTGTTCTATCGGGTTTAGATCTGGTGATCGGGAATGCCATGGGCAGACATTGACGTTAGAATTGGCAAGGTGGCAGACCGTGACGCGTGCAGTATGTGAAGTAGCATCGTTATGCTGGAAGAGGGTTGGCATCTGGTGTATTCGGAGGAGGGTTCACATCTGGTGTTTTTTGCTGGTGGGTTCACATCTGATGTATTTGGCGGAGGGTTCGCATCTGGTGTTTTCGAAGAAGGGTTCACATCTGGTGTGTTTTGAGGAGGGTTCGCATCTGGTGTAACCGCCCGAGGGGTAGGGGTGGTGTTCCGTGGACTGGGGTTTCGTGGAGCCAGAGGCGGTGGCACAAATCCAAACAGTGACGGGTAGGGTTATAGTAGACTGAATTCAATATTACAATCGCTAACGGATAATACAGGTTCGATGTTTCAGAATACTGTGTCTCGGTGTTGTGTTACCCTCTGCATCTCACTTTAGTCCACCAGGTATTGTTTGAACAAACGGTGGAAGACTGTTCTCACATTTCTGTAAGATCAATCAAATTGTTATTCAAAACCGTGTTATATAACTCAAAATAGTTATCAATCATATAAAACACACTGTTTATATCAAGTTTATAAGGAGTGGTTGGGTAGTTCAGTGGATATATCGATGGCTTGTCATGTCAAAGGTCGGGTTCGAATTTCTCATGTAACGGCCATTCGTGAAGCTGAAACCCGTAGTATACACCGCCGTGATAGTTGAGTAGAGAGTTAAACCATTCAAATGATGTCTATCATAAATATCATTATACCTGCGTATGTTATAATGACTGCATACATTATAATATTTTCATAAATATCATTATACTTGCATATGTTATAATGACTGCATACATTATTATATTTTCATAAATATCATTATACTTGCATATGTTATAATGACTGCATACATTATTATATTTTCATAAATATCATTATACTTGCATATGTTATAATGACTGCATACATTATTATATTTTCATAAATATCATTATACTTGCATATGTTATAATGACTGCATACATTATTATATTTTCATAAATATCATTATACTATTATTCTAACATTATGGTTATATGTCATCCATCACATTCTTTCGTTCAGTGTCAAAACACAAACACAAACAATGAATACAGTGCTACAAGAATAATATCCTGAAGCGTGAATTATTCTTTGACGCCATCTTGTGCACTCAAGTAAACAGAAACACAACAATAAAGGCTGTTATTGTGTTGGCTAACTCTTTGTCTATAGAATTTTCATCTTTTTATCATTGACCTTACATGAAATAATTGCTATTAAACTAACGCAATAAATTCTTCTAAAATGGCTTATGCGTTTGTTTGTTTATTGAAGAGTGTATGTTTGGAAAAGGAGATTGCAAACAAAGAGATTCTTCTTCTTCTATTGATAGCAAGCTCAACGACCCAGCATTCCTGTTTGTTATGTTTGACAAGTGACTGATCTGATGCTGTTGTTGTGTTGGTCATTGCCCCGCGGACACAAGGTGAATGACCATGCATGTCTCCATCCCTGCACGTCTACCCAATACTCATCTCGTCTCCATATCAGAATGGGCATCGGTGATACAGTGGCGGCGGTGGCTCTACTGACATGTGTCGTCACAGGTAGGTTTCGCATTTCTGTCTCTGAAAAACTGATTTAAAGAAGGATGCATGTTTCTATTTTAATTTCTGTTCATTTTGCTCTATACTTAAATATATTGATTGACATGAGTTTCCTTTGATATTTACAACATGTTTTTATTTATGTAATGTCAAACGGCCCACATTCAATTGCTTCACTGATATTCGTTATTCATTCAATCAAACATTATATTGCGGATCAAAGGACTCTTTTCTGAATAAACTGTTCATCTGTCTGTAACTGCACGAACTGATTGAGATAGTAGATCGAAATTCACTGTCGTTCTAAGCAAACGATAGTTTGTCTATGGAACAAATACAAACGGTTATTCGATGGGGCTGTATTTCGGAGGGGTATAGATGTTGTGTATTTTACTTTAAGCTCTCTGTGTTGAGGGAGCTGCTTTTAGATAATGTTTGTATTATTTTAGTCCAATCCAGGTCGAAATTTATTTTCTTGTGTCCTAAGTATTTCTGTACATCATGTGCTGGAAGGACAACTTGTACCGCGACAATGGTACAGTTACCAAATGTATTTTGCCCGCGTTAAGAAAACAATATGACTAATTGTATTGAAAACGTCAAGGTATGTATCTGTGTTGGGTTGTTAGTATGTCTCGTTGTATTGACATATGGCATATATAAAATTAACAGTAAAGTTCAAATCCACACTTTGAGATTTTGGCACTTGATCGCCAGCACCGCTCTAACCACTAAAACGGGTGTCAGATAACTAGTAGTCTTTATTAAGGAACTTGTGCACCGATCTAACAAGAGTAAATTGTGTATTCATGCTTACATGCTAATTCACGCTTCAGGATGTTATTTTTGTAGCACTGAATTCATTGTTTGTGTTTGTCTTTTGACACTGGACGAAAGAATATGATGGATGACATAGGACCCTAATGTCAGAAATATTGTTCTCTCGAGACAAAAATACACCGTATAGTCACGAAAATATACAAAAATATATATGCAGTCGTCATAACACATGCATAATAATAATGTTTTAACTTTCTACTCAACTATCACGGCGGTGTACACTGCGGGTTATGACTTCACGTATGACCAACCCAAGAAATCCGAACCCAACCTTTGAAATGACAAGCCAGCAGTCTAAGGATATTTGGTATAAATAGTGTGTTTTTAACACGATTTTGAATAACAATTTGAATGATCTCAATGTGAGAACAGTCTGCAGTCGTTTGTTTGGCAATACCAGGTGGACTAAAGTGACTCACATAGGGACACATTGAACCTGTATCATCCGTTAGCGACTGTACTATTGATATCAGTTTAATATAAACCCTTTTGACTCAAGAACTTGTAAAATGTCGTACACTAAATGGTTACATGTCATACACATGTAGTTCCATTGTTGCAGGATGCGAGGCGTTCAGCCTTTACCCCTACCCGTCACTGTTTGGATTTGTGCCACCGCACAACCCCAGTCCACGGAACACCACCCCTACACCTCGGGCGGTTACACCAGATGCCAACCCTCCGCCAAATCCGCCAGATGCGAACCCTCTGCCAAATCCACCAGATGCGAACCCTCCTCGAAATCCACCAGATGTGAACCCTCCGCCAAATCCGCCAGATGCGAACCCTCTGCCAAATCCACCAGATGCGAACCCTCCTCGAAATCCACCAGATGTGAACCCTCCGCCAAATACTCCAGATGCGAACCCTCCGTCAAATACACCAGATGCAAACCCTCCGCCAAATGCACCAGATGTGAACCCTCCGCCAAATACTCCAGATGCGAACCCTCCTCAAAACACACCAGATGCAAACCCTCCGCCAAATACACCAGATGCGAACCCTCCTCAAAACACACCAGATGCAAACCGTCCGCCAAATACTCCAGATGCGAACCCTCCTCAAAACACACCAGATGCAAACCCTCCGCCAAATCCACCAGATGCGAACCCTCCTCAAAACACACCAGATGCAAACCCTCCTCAAAGTGTTCCCTCATACTCTCCCAATGGCGGATCTAATTACCCCTTCTACGGACGTGGTACCCAGAGAACGTTTTCTCCTTTCCCTGGTCGCTCAGGGTGGGGTGGATTCGTCAACAGGTACAAGCCACCGCCCCCTTCCCCGGAAACATCAGGGTTTCAGTACACACCGTCCGTACCACACGATACAGCACAGGACTCCCAGGACTTTGTGGAACCACACAGAGAGTGGGTGTACCACTACAGGGGGACAAAAACAGAACGGTACCCGGAACGTATGTTGATGTCAGGATATGAAAAGGGAATATCAAGAAATATGGTCGATAACCTTGCTCCGTATTCTGAAACTGTATTACCCGGACAGGAGAAGTCACAACGAGATGAAGTCAAACATTATCCCCTAACATCAATGATCAACCATCTCAGAAGCAGTCATACTCCTTCCGAATTACGCTCTGTGTCAGATCCAAGTACTAGTACCCATACTGGAACAACCATACATATAGAAGAACATCAAGACGTGACATATCCAGAGCAAGAAATACAACCAGGCACTGAATTTATCGATGGCGAAAGAAACCTTCCGACAAGAGGAAGTGAATCAACTCCTAGTGGAAAACCCGTATTTCCCAATACAGCACCGGAAGACTCGGACCAGGATGGTTTTCATGGCGATCCCGTCCCGGCAGGTAGATCTCATTCCATGCAACCTTCGGCTGAGGCATATCCAAAGGAAGAACAGGCCAGTGATCGGGCTGCAGTCGCCCCTTTCGCTGGTTCAAATCAACCTTTTTTAATCGAAGACACTCTGATTTCCTTCTTTGGACCAAGGTACCCTGAGGGCGGAGTCAACTCCATGGTGTGATACAGACATGCTTCTTGCAACCAAGGTATCTTGAGCTCGGAGTGAACATCAAGATGTGATACGCCATTGGGAACATTGAATTACACCATTCGAATTACATATTAAATGTAGTATTTGTTAAAGAGTTTATGGGGTGACTGTTCATCATGGCCAGTAGGTCACCTGTGGGGCCTGTGACCTGTGTACATTTCAGCGTTATTGCCAGTATACAGAAACGACTCCAATATTCATAAAAACTTCTACTGCATCTCCACCAAAGAGGTGTCATATGTGAAAGGTCAAAGTGTACAAAGTTGAAATGCTTTTCAAAGAAAAATTGCAAACATTTAATACATGAAAGTGATAAAAGCAATATTTATACCATCCGACATTTGTGCCAACATGTTAACTTGACTGTGCGATCTCTACTTTATCATGAACATGTGGTTCTGAGTCACCATCACAGAGTGATGACATCATGTGTCCGCCGAAAGGTGAGCGTATCCTGCTGCTCGAGAATCACCCATCACAAACATATGCGAACTAACGCAAGTAGCCACAAACACACACACACACACACACACACACACATACCCCTACAAAACAATCTGTCGAAACATACGGTACACTTGAAACTACTGATCTGATTGAGACATAGTGTTTGACGATGAGGCGTCAAGTTTGGATTTATCCTCTACCATTTAGCCCTAAAATCTCCACATAGTGAGGCTCTTAACCCACCAGTCAGTACTTCCTTATGATACTGAAGATGATAAAGTTCCATATCTTAATAAGATAGTTGCAGGTGTTAGAGGGTTTTCATGTGACGTCCGTTATGATAAAGTTACACAAACATAATCATAAGATCATCTTGGCATGTCAAATGTATGCGGATAGCTTGCGTATGACGTCATTCCCATCAGTTGCCATGGCAAAATGGAATGGAGCAAGGTAATCATATTCAGATGATAACTGCTGAACTTCACATGCAGCACGAGTTGGTATGGACAAAGGGTTCCTCTATAACTAACCCATTCACAACACAAGGGACCTGTTAGCATTACAGTAACCTGTTAACCTTACTAGTAATCCGGGGTGGTGGGGTAGTCTAGTGGTTAAAAGTTCGCTCGTCACGCTTAAAACCCGGGTTCGATTCACTACAAGGGTACAAGGTGTGAAGCCCATTTCTGGTGTCCCTCGTCGTGATATTTCTGGAATATTGCTAAAAGCGGCGTAAAACCATACTCACTCACTCACTCACTTACTAGCAATCCAATTCGCCATGGTTTTAAAAGAGACTGACCCACCAAGACTTTGTATTTCTGCCCCTAAATGGGAGTGTTCAGTTAAAAAACAACTGCTTTGTTGTGGATGCGTTCTGAACATTTTACAATACGTCACAATACAACACAATACAACACAATACATCACAATACACCACAAAACATTACAATACATCACACTACACCATAATACATCACAATACAACACAATACATCACAATACATTACAATACACAAAAATACATCACAATACACCACAATACATTACAATACACCAAAATACACCACAATATATCACAATACACCACAATACATTACAATACACCACAATACATCACAATACACCACAATACACCACAATACATCACAATACACCACAATACATGCCAATACATCACAATACATCACAATACACCACAATACATTACAATACACCACAGTACACAACAATACACCACAATACATCACAATACAACACAATACAACACAATACATCACAATACACCACAATACATCACAATACATTACAATACAACACAATACATCACAATACAACACAATACATCACAATACACCACAATACATCACAATACACCAGACAACACCACAATACATCACAATACACCACAATACATCACAATACATCACAATACACAACAATACATCACAATACACCACAATACACCACAATACATCACAATACATTACAATACACCAAAATACATCACAATGCATCACAATTCACCACAATACATCACAATACACCACAATACACCACAATACATTACAATACACCACAATACATCACGATACATCACACTACATCACTCACAATATATCACAATACATCACTCACAATACATCACAATACATCACAATACACCACAATACATCACAATACACCACAATACATCACAATACACCACAATACATCACAATACAACACAATACACCACAATACATCACAATACACCACAATACATCACAATACAACACAATACATCACAATACAACCACAATACAACACAATACACCACAATACACCACAATACATCACAATACACCAAAATACATCACAATACATCACAATACACCACAATACACCACAATACATCACAATCCATCACATTACACCACAATACATCTCAATACACCACAATACATCATAATACACCACAATACAACACAATACACCAGAATACACCACAATACATCACAATACACGACAATACATCACAATACATCACAATACACCACGAACACCTGAACATCTATTTTACATGTACGCACAGCGGTATATGTTTCACCAGACAAAGACGTTTCGCCTTCCTTTGATGAATCTTAATTTTGTTTTCTCTTGTGTACCCGCAGGACCGTCTGTATAGAGTGAGTGAGTTTAGTTTTACGCAGCTTTTAGCAATATTCGGCGGGGGACACCAAAAATGGGCTTCTGACATTGTACCCATGTGTGGAATGTAGGGAATCGAACCCGGGTCTTTGGCGTGACAAGCGAACGCTTTAACCACTAGGCTACCCACCCAACCCCCAACCCCTGTTTGTAAAGATCATGCTTACAATGAAGATTTGATATATGAGGTATATGTGACATTTTATATCCATTGCTACTACAGCTGCGTGTAGAAATATTCTTTAGCAGAAGGCAGAATCATTCTTACAGATATGACATGTTATGATATGCGTGTAACGTAGTGTGCAGACTGTCGTGATTCCTGTTGGTTGTGTGATTCCTTATACATGTTCACGCCATGTGACATGCTGTAACTCATGCATGACACTGTGCATGACATATTTGATGTGTATTGTGCTCTTTATATGTATCAGAAAATAAACCGGCTTTTTTAAAGATTATGAAATAACATAAACTATGTCACGATAATGCATGTGGAAACTTGACGAACGTCACCATGCTGTACAAAACACAAGACAAATAACCCTTTATACACGAACATGAACTGTCAACATTTTACCGGCCTTGTGCACAACATAACAATGCTACAAAACATATTTCAGCTAAAACGCATGAATAGCAGACTGTATTCACTTAAACCTACGATGTTCAACACGCGGCAGGTTATCGGTGAAGTGCCAAAACATGTCGTCGTTAATGTTGATGCTTCCTAAAGTGTAACTGTCTACTGTTTCGAGTGAGTCGGGTCATCAGAAATGTGGGGTGGCCTACATTGATATTATGTACCATCTTTGTTTGGTTGTTTGTTGTTAAACGCCGCATCCACTAAAAATCCAGATATATGGCGTCGGTCTTTAAGTAACTGAGATTGGATCAGGCAATCCAGTGATCAACAGCATGAACATTGAACTATGCTATTGCGATACGATGACAGTCAGCGAGCTTGACCACCCGATCTCGTTAGTCGTCTTACGACAGACATGGGTGAGAACACCAAGATAATATTCTTCACATAATTGATGATAACTGAGTGAGTGAGTGAGTGAGTGAGTGAGTGAGTGAGTGAGTGAGTGAGTGAGTGAGTGAGTGAGTGAGTGAGTGAGTGAGTGAGTGAGTGAGTGAGTGAGTGAGCGAGCGAGCGAGTGAGTGAAGATTTTAAGTCACATCGGCAATCCTTCAGCCATATCGTGACTAAAACTAGTTCTAAATTCATGAGAAATACTTACACTCTATAAAACCCTGTCAACGATGGACAGTAAAATTACTAGATTATCACAGATTTGTTCAAACGAGATCAAAGAAAATTAAGATAATATACCAACAATTAACGATACGAGATCAAAATTTATGAATCAAATCAATTTCTTTCTTTTTTTTAAAAACAATAATTAAATGAGAACTGATATCATTAAAAAGATCCTTCATAGTTAGTGATTTGAAATAGTTATCCCTTAATAGATGATAAGGTAATCCCTATTACAAGGTCACGGTATATAGATATAGTTTACAGGTGTTGCAGTATCAAGGGAAGCGTACCTGTTGCAGAAACAACCAACAGTAAACACGTACCCTCTTGTTTGAATATTTCACGTCGATGTTTTTAATCAAATTCAGCATCAATGATAGCTAAAATTTACCTTCATTGTGTTCTTCGTATCGACAGTAAGGACACAGAACTGTGTATGCAGATATCAAAAACGTTTTCAGCGAGTGGGGAGATATTTTGTTGATTAACTTCTCGTCGCGACAGAGTAGAATGTTAAAGTACCAAAAAATAGAGTTTGACATTCACAACACATGTTTTGGCCACTATGACCAAGTAAAACAAGACAGTTTATGATCCCGGTCAAGCAAAGATCATGTCATGTTCAGTTTGGTGCGTCAGTTACCCCATCACCTGCCAACACTGTGATACGTTTATGGAGGGACTTCTGAAGATTGAGTTCTGAGGTCGTACACAGTTCAGACGGGGTGGGAGTGATGGCGGGTATATATAGATGGATCGATACATGGTTCGAAGTGGTACCTAGCCAGGAACACAACCATGATTGTTGGAATGCTGCGGAACCTTGTGTTGTTCTGTGTGGTGTGTCTACAGATGTCGGGTAAGTCCTACTCTATTCAAGGTACGCCTAGCTAAAGACCCAGAATGTTTTGCGCCTTTGAAAATAACATAAAACATCATTGATGAAATATAATACCGTTTTGTTGGGAACAAGTCGAGTATTATAAGGGTTTAAATCCGAACTGTAAACCTAACCTTAACCCAAGCTCGCATCCACCTCTAGCAGAAATATCTATATTCTGGA